CGAACAAAGGAAAGCAGCGCGTAACATATTTGAACGAATGGATGAAAGAACAGGTCTTGGGAGAAATAACAAAAAGATAAAACTTATTAACAGCTTCAATGGACAGGAAGATGTGGAGGGACATGATTGATTACGTCCTGAAGGGACACGACACATAAGAGAAGACTGAATTGTACACCTTTCCTTCTTCATTCTGTTCAGTTTCAATCAAGAAAGAAAAAATCCTAATGAAAACATATTTTTCTGGAGTCGAGTTAAAATAGTTTAAGATATTGTATAGATTATTTTCTTTACGAAAGTCTACCGAATATAAGACTCGAGAGCCAGTTGAAATAGAGTATAACTGGGTGAGGTTTATGATATAAACGTAAGAGCAAAAGTAGGAAGTGTAGTTTACGAGGATATGTATGATAGATAAGAATGGACATTAGACCAGAAGAGGTAAGATTGTCGTGTTTTTGGGAAGCATCCACTTAGGAGGAGTTTCTTTTACAAAGTAGCTGCTCTGGGGAAGAAGCTTTCGGATAGAAACGCCATTTCTATCCAAGGAATGCATATGGGACGAGAGTAATTCAATCCTGTAGATATAGTAATTCGGATTATGATTGTAAAAGACTGGGTTGGTGCCAGTGAACCTTATCAAAAACATTTGCCATGGAAGTAGCAATCAAATAACAATAGACCTGTGAAGGTGTGTTTGTGGGGAAATAGTTCTACAGTGGAAAATAAAACGACCCTGACGTAAAAAACTTGTCAAAGTTGCATATATGAAGTTTGAGAAATGATACTTTCTTTATTCTCTGATCTAGTTCTTGTAAAGTGCAATCATGACAGCTTTCACCCTAAACTAAACTCAATGCACTTTTGGCGGACGCTGTACAAAACGTACATGTTTGTGAAAGCCTGCGTTTTTTTGGGTTTTTTTTTGGTTTTTTTTCCCTCAAGGTCTTTGTGAGGATGAATGATAACTTGTCCGTTTATGAGGTATCTTGATGCTGATTTCGACTGGTAAATTAGTACACCTTGAGGGAATCTTAACGAAGCGGCAGAATGGAACGAAAGAAGATGACTAAACCTTGGTTTATCGTTTTATCTATGTAGGCATGGCCAGAATTAATTAAAACGATGCTTGCCTTACGGCTGAGACAGAGTTTCTTTCGCTTTTGCTATTAGTAGGCTTATTTGCCTTCGAGACGAGAATAAAGTAATATTTCGACAACTGATTTATAAGATAAATAGCTCTATCCAAAATCTTTGGTGCAACACAATCTTCCTTTCTCCATCTCTATATCTTTGCCAGTGCTTCAGTAAGCCACTCAGAAATAAATTATAGAAATTACTCTATTTTTCTTCAAGTAAAACAAAACAGTATATTGGTAAATACATTGGCGTCTATTGAAATTAAATTTTGAGAAACTCTATTCCTTAAGTGATACTGAAATCCGAAAGATTCCTGGAAGAGCAAGTGATGCCTTCCAAAGACTAAGTGAATATAATGAAACAGAAAATTCTTTATATTTAATTCTCAAAAGCAATGAAATATGAGTTTAACATTGTAAAGCGAATCCTCGTATATGAAAGATAAAGAAGGGTGCTGAGAATACCATGAAGTGCACATGTGAGTAATGAGGAAGTTTTAAGAAAAACACAAATAAAAAGGAAACTTGTACTTAGAATCAGAAAAATAAACAAAAATTCTAAGGTATATAATAGGGATAGAGGTCTTGGAGAATTTGATATTCACAAGACAGATTGAAGGCAAGATAAAAATGGCCGATAGCAAGTATACTGGGAACTATAGTAAAGCAGCGGGCATTAGAGCGACAAAGTATAGAAAGCTGTAGAGAGCCGTGTTTGCCTGCGGTGTAAAGGACACGTTGTATCAATAAAGGCTGCTACATACAACACATTATATCCTATAAATTGAGGAAGACATCAGATTACAGTATTCGCGTAATCGGCGACCATCAGACGAGACAAGTTTGTTATTCACCGCAATAAATAGATATTTCAAAACAATATCCAAATAATTCATGGCTTGTCCGTTGATCTATGGGATTATCAGGGTTCTGTTCTTGCTCTTTCATAACAGCTGGAGAAAAATAAAAGATAAAAAGTAATAGTCGTTAATCTCATCTGTAAATACGACAAGACAACTTGCTCTTGGATAGCTTCCGCCAGTAGCAAGAATTAACCAGAATAATGACTGTGTAAACTTCTTAGAATTATGCAAATATCGTAGATCAGATGTACATGACCCGTGAGGTTTATCGACACGAAAAACGGAATCAGCGAAATGTGTTGAACGACCGGTTGGTTTTGTTGTATTAACCTCACAGTAACAGCCTTGGGAAAAGTAGGCATCCATTTTTATATCCCTGAGAGCAAAGAGTATAATTGCAAGGTAGACTGACTCTCCAGCTTCGGTAAAGTAAACAGTTCAAAAGAAAGAAATCACTGAATTCAAAATAAACAGGGAGACAATTCCTAAAGATGTATGCTAAAGAATCTGTGACGTGATAGCACTAAAGTCACTCTCTTGTAAAAAAAATATTCTTCTCAACTCTACCTGGGTGAATGATGAGACAACAAATATCAATTACACATTAAACCCTTTAACTATTCGTTAAAGCAGACACAAATAAGTATTTGATGACGTAAACCACAATATTGCTTATAAGTTATGACAGAAAAAATAAACAGCCCTTCAATTTTAAACTAAAATGGATAAATCAGGCCTTGTGAGGAGTAATCGTGGTTAATATAGAAAGGAGGCCGATATTAACTTTTCAGCAAACTTTTAGGATGTATTTATGAGCGTGTAATAAAAATCATGTGTTTTCAATTTTTTCTGCTTATTGTCGAGTTTTTTCTCTGACTTGAGCAAATTTCGGTCGCGTTTATAAAATATCCAGTTATCTGAAGTTGCAACTTTAATTTGCAGCACGATGTGAGAAGCATCCTTTCGGAGGCGAGACAGTAACTTGTGCCAAAGAACACGCCGTTACTTAAATTCAGTAGATCTATCCACTGCTCGGACGACAATGATTTCAATTAAATACAACAACACTCCATTATAAGGACATGTTGGCTGAATAGTTAATATGAGAACGCAACACGGAGCAGAGACGATATAAAACCGTGATTCAAAAGGCACTTTAACACTTTTAATCGCGCTTGAAGTTCATCATTATTTCTTTGGAGAAAATAATAAAGTCATATTTTTCTTTTTTCTAGTGATCTATTCATTTCTATAGCTTATCAATTAATTTCTGTTATTTAATATTAAAACTAATGCTATTTATATTTCTTATCTTTTTCTACATCAGTCTGTATCGATCCAGAATGAGGCCGAATCTTACATAAATATCTCATCAGTTTTTAGTGGTAGAATCTCCGATTGACACCAATTCAGTCGGATGTCTAGCCACACTGAAGAGCTGTGAAACAGCGAAACAGTCTGTCTGTAGATGACTTTATATTGGCTCCTGAAAAATTAATTTCAGTTGAGTTCTCGGGGGAAGTAAACAGTGAGCTCTCTGTGGGTTTGTAAACAGTGACTATTATGGCTGATATAGCGAACTCTTCGGCAAAAGCGAATTGAGTCACTGTCGGTCACTGTGTGTGTTTATCTAAAAATAAATACGCTAAAATTCACCTTCATCCCTACCGTGCGCCGACGGCTTAGTGGTAGAATCTCCGATTGACACCAATTTTCGATCCTAGCTAGAGGCAACCGGATGTCAAGCCACACTGAAGAGCTGTGAAACAGCGAAACAGCCTGTCTGTGGATGACTTTATATATATATATATATATATATATATATATATATATATATATATATATATATATATATATGCACGAAAATTCCGGTTTACAGAGCTGTTGTCCTTGCCATTATTTGTACGGCTCAGGGTCGTGGATTCCATACAGATCACATATATGCCAGCTGGATGTTTTCCATAAGAGCTGTCTGCGTGCCCATCTGTTGAGTTAGCCTTCAAGACAGGACATCCAATGTAGACCTGTTAACGGGTGTAATATTGGAGTCTCAGTTGCGGTGGACTGGTCATATCTTGAAAATATTTGATGACAGGATACCTAAAATCTTAATGTACAGTCAGTTAGATCAGGGCTACAGGAATGTAGGACGTCCATGTCTTAGATACAAAGACAAGCTGATAAGCAAATTGTCAGCTGCCAATATACCTCATAACATCCTCAAAGCGAGTAGAGTGGGGACCAACGAGTTTTAGTTGACTCGGTAGTTTTCAATCTGCTACTTTGAATCGCCTTCAAGAAACGAGAGCAAGATCTAAAAGGTCAGTCAATCTAACAGTGATCTTATCCCACAATCGTCATTCTTGCTCCATATGCGGGCTCCTTTGCGAATCACGAGCGGGTCTTAAGTGCCAGTTACGATTAACGCACAAAATTCATAACTGAATCAATTAGTTAAGTTGTCAGATCCTCATACGTCGAAATCAACGGGAGAGAATCATACATACATACATAAATATATATATATATAATGAAAAATAAAGAATCCTTGAAATCCATCTGATTATAATTTATTTCGGGAACTTTACAATACGTCCATCTCTTCAGAAAAGCGTTTAGTAAATAAATTATGTGCAAATTATTTATTTACAAAACGCCAGTCGAATTTGAGCCTCGTGTGTGTGGAGGGGGCGTCTTTCGTCGCTGTCGAACTGCTAAAAGCGCTAGCAGACATTTCATATATCCATTTTCAAATTCGTTTGGCTGTCAACATTTGAAAGTCTGGCGCAATGTGATCTTTCAATCCTCATTTGTTAGATCAACTTCAGTTTAGTAAGTACCTTACGATATTCATTTGTGTATTACTTATGTTTTTCTAATGATAGATAGACATAAACATTTAGACTGTATTGTTTGTGCTTCCATCATCTCAATTGTACGTATGTCGAAAAATAGTGGATATCAATTAGGTATTTGTTAACTGGGTCGACTTTTATAGTTCTTCATTTCTTTATAAAACCAGTACTCTATCTACGGTAAACCGGCAAATTCTCTGCATTATCCCCGCTTCAATCTGTGAATGGACTGTGCATCATACACCATTGTGTCGTAAATGACTTGTTTCTTCATATGTGCGTGTCGCATTTGTTCAAGCGTATTTCAGTGAATGAAGACGCGGTGTAAGCAGCCTCCTTATTTTCTCTACTAACAAATCTATCAAAATATCTATCTATGAGCTCATTAATTATCTATCTGCCTATCAATGGTTGTGTTAAATATCTAACAAAGTGATTATATCTATCTATACTACTCAGCCTGCTCATTTCTGCCTGTCTTTATATCTCAGTATATCTATTTATCTATCGATATATATATATATATATATATATATATATATATATATATATATTACTTCAAACATTTTTAGTGAATAACCGCATTTGAGTAGACGCTACGTTTATTTTAAAGAAGATTTTTTCGCCTATCGGCCTTCGTATTCGAGAAAAATTGATAGAAAATGCATCTACCGGCAGAATTCGAACCTGCTTTTGCCTTTGCAGGTTGCTAGACGAATTAATTACTGTAAAATATAAACACATTTTCTTCACGAATATAGATATTCATTAAAAATATCATTTGAAATAAGAAAAATAGGTTAGATATATATATATATATATATATATATATATATATATATATATATATATATGTAAGTGAACATTGAAGTTAACACTTAAAGGCGACAATCTATTTCATGCTAGACGCAATCGTGGCCTGTCGCCTCTAATTGTTGATTTCTATGTTCACTTTTATATTTACACACTATCTCTGATATTTGAGTATTTTATCCCATAAATATAGCACACCTTAAGACTATATATATATATATATATATATATATATATATATATATATATATATATATATACATTTTACAAAGAAATATAGTCTTAAGATGTGCTAGAAGTGAACATGAAATATATATATATATGAGCATCACACACACACACACACACATATATATATATATATATATATATATATATATATAAGTTAAAAATATAGTTTTAATGTATACTACGTTTATAAGATAAAGTGTTCATTATCTACAAATATATATCTATCTGTCTATCTATCTATCTATGTCAGTCTATTCATATCTAGCTATGTATTTATCTATTCATCTCCATATCTATCTCAATCTGTTCATATCAATCTGTTTATATCTATCTATCTATCTTAGTCTGTTCATATCTATCTTTCTCTCTTTAAGTTTGCTCATTTTTTATCTATTTATCTATATACTTCTGTATGCTCATTATCTATCTATCTATCTATCTCACTGTTCATATCTATCTATTTATCTATCTATCTTTATATATATATATATATATATATATATATCGTTGTGTCAACAATTTTACGCAACAGCAACCGAAGCAGCAGACATAACCGCATTGTGGTGCTCTGCAGCTGTCGTAGACTTTATAATCATCATCATCAACATCATGATCCTACTCATTCCGATCTCCCTCCCCATCACTTTACCTCATCCTGTCTTTCTTCATGAACAACGCAACCTTCCCCTTCGTCGCCCTCTTCTAAATCGACATCATCGGCGACGTCATCAAAACTGAATATTCGCAGCTGTAGCATTATTACTGATCGGTCCTATCAAAGTCGCGTCTCTAACACAGCAAAATTATAAGAAGAAGCCTTAAAATCAGCCGGTAATGCCTTCAGCGACCCTTGTAAGATGCTGGGATCCCGGAAGGAAAGATGTAACCACTAGCAAAAGAGAGAAAAAAAAGAATCAATTTTACATGGAAACAAATCAATAGCTGACTGAATGAGGGAATAAACATTTTCACAAGCCGCTGAGAATTAACAGTTTCAGAGAGATATACATACTGATAAAAAAAAAGATAATGGCTGCAATAGTTTACACGGGTTTGTTTTCTGTGCTAATCGCTGAGAGAGAGAGAGAAAGAGAGAGAGAGAGAGAGATAGAAAAGAAGAGAAAGACAGAGAGAAAGTTTAGCGAAAAATGCGAAAAATCGGTAAGTAATGTGATTAGAAAGTGAGAGGGATTTTGAAGCGAGGAAAGGAACGAAGGAGAAAGTAAAATAAATTTACTTATGAAAAGTATTTCTATTTTTTAGATATTGATTAGGACGAAAACAATATTAAGTAAAGAGAAGAGAGAAGGGTTAAAGCCAAATCGGAGAGATTAAAAAGAGAGAGGAAAAGGAAAGAAGATTAAAAGAGAGAGGGAAAGGAAAGAAGATTAAAAGAGAGAGGGAAAGGAAAGAAGATTAAAAAAGAGAGGGAAAGAAAAGAAGGGGGAAGAGAGTGGGAAAGAAAAGAAGGAAGAAAGAGAAAAAAAAGAAATCCGTAGAGAAAGAACAAATAAAAAGGATAAAGTATTCAAGCAGAAAAGGAGAAAGTGATAATAAATGAAAGAATATAGAAAAAGAAAAGGGAAACATTAGGTGAAGAGAAGGAGCAAAAACAACGAAAAGGAAGAAGAAAAATGAGATGTAAAAAAAATAGAAATGGAAAAAACATTTAACGAAAATAACTTAAAGAATTGAAAGAGGAAAGAAAAATCAAAAACTGGCGAAATTTTTTGAAAGTAGTAAAAAGTAAATGCAAGATAGAGCAAACAAGGAAGGAAGGAAGAAAGGAAGGAAGGACGGACTATAAAAAAGATATGCAAGGAAAATCCCATGAAGTATTTTTAAAGAAATTAACGGGCAAAAATCGAGAAATTAAGTTTAGTTTGTGAGAATCAAAATGTAATTTAAATGCAAAAATAAGCAGCAAGTTTTAAAAAAAAAATGAACCGGTCATTTTTCAAGTTGCAAAGAATAAAATGAAACGATTCAAAAAAGAATTAGAATATATACAGTTTTAGATAGATATGAACAGATTAAGATAGATAGATATAGATAGATAGATAGATAGATAGATAGATAGATAGATAGATAGATAGATATGAACGGGCTGAGATAGATAGATAGATAGATAGATAGATAGATAGATAGATAGATAGATAGATAGATAGATAGATATTAACAGACTGGGGTGGATAGATGAGCGTGACTCCTTTGACTGCCTTCCTGCAGTCCGAGATTAATAGATAGTTTGAAAGAGGTGAGTAACATGTACGCAGACGTGTCGGATTAAGTAAAATGGTAACAGATACAAGAGTTGTCATAAAAAAAAAGAAAAAAGAAAAAAGTGATGATAAGGCCGACAAGTTTCTTGGAGAAAAGAAGAGAATGGCTACTGATATCTGAACGGAACGCCGCGATGGAAAAAGGCACGAATAATAAATAAATAGTTAGCGAAAAGGAATTAGAGATTTATGTAATTGTAACAAAAGTTGGCTGTGGTAGAGGTTCTCAGGAGGGTGTGGAAAGAATGAAAAGCAATGGGTAGAATCTAATGAGTTGTCGTGGAAAGGAAGGTGGCTAAGCGTAGCTTCAGCGAGGCAGGGAATCATTTAGTCTCGCAAAGCAACCAACCATCCGGCGGAGAGCGCACCGTGCGAGTGGGAGAGCGTGTGTGTGTGTGCGTGCGTGCAAGGGAGAGGGCAGACTCTGTTCGTCAAAATACAGTCAGTCGGTGGAGATGGAGGTGTTGGGTATGCAGGTGTTGCTTTTCTACTTGCAGTTTCCGAGACTTCCCTGGTTTTACGATTCATACCACTGAAAATTAATTGTTATTATTATTATTACTACTAACACCACTACTATTGGTACCACAAACAACTACTACAACTACTAATATTCATAAATACGTCTTCGACATCACCAACACCATCATCATTAACAGCTACTGCTATAATGGAACTCCGAAAAATACCAATGCTTTCAAAGTGCTACTGAAAAAATATTTATTTTCTCCTCTTAATTGAATTTTATATTTCAGTTAGTGATGTCAACAACTTTCGCAACCAAAATCAGCGATTAATTCCGAAAAAAAGAAAAAAAAATACCGCCATAAATATTACTGTTTTTTTTTTTAAATCTGTGAAAAAAAAACGAGAAAAAAAAGCACCACTGTTTTTGTGTTTGTTTTGTTTTTCGTTTGTTTTTGTTTTTTTTTTTTTTTTTTGTTTTTCCTTTTTCTTTTTTTCATACTCATATTCTTAAGGCCAACGTTATAACCCTGGATCTAATAAGTTAATATCAAACACCACATCTTGAAATATATATCTTTACAATAAAAATATAAGCAAAACCCAGCTCAGTAATTTTTGCTTTTTGCGAAATATTTTTTGGGCAGTTGAAAACTGACACATTAAATCTCACACAACAAATATGTGCATGCACAAATCTCTACGGCTGCTGCACATAATAGATTTCAATTCACTTGCATCTTGTCCCCTAAGGAGGAACTAATGCCCCGGCAAAAGTACGCACACAGATATAAACACACCTATGCCTATACGTAGACAAATTGTTCGCAACACCTGAAGAAGGCTGACTAAACTACCAACCATTCATTAGTACACCAATTTTCTAGCGACATTTAGTTTTGTACATGTCATTTAACTAAAGAAAACTCAACTCTTTTTATCATTTGTTTTTCAATTTTCTCGACAGTAAATCCGCAGTGCACCGTAGACGCTTATCGACGTCTGTTAGGTTACACACCGTCATAGTAAAAAAACAAAACAATATATATATATATTTATATTTATAGCACGCGTACATACATATCCACACACAAATAATTTACCGCCGTTTCTCACCCGCACACACAGATTCACCTATTATATACATATGCGTAATATTTGATAGGTACATATGTGTAAATAAAAATAAATTTGTTAGCATTTGAAGCAAGATGTTTTGAGAGGCATTATCTGGCGAAGTAAATTTTCTTAATAAAAAAGAAGGAATTACTTGTAAAGCCTTAAGTTATAAAAAGTGTCCTCGCTTGTAAAATACTGCTAGCTGAATATTTTAGGCGTGTAGCTACAATACATCTAGTTCTAGTAGGTGTGTTGTTGTTGTTGTTGTTATTATTATTATTATTATTATTATTATTATTATTATTATTATTATCGCTGTTATTGTTACGTTCTTTCTTGTATTGTTGCGATATTGGAGGTACTGTATAATCTAATCTTAAAATCCGAGGTGAAATTCATGTGCCTTTTTTTGTTTCTCCGATGTGTCTTCTTCGATCGGTTATAGTGTGGTTAAACACTTTAAGAAAAAAGTACGACTTACGGTTAAAAACTTTTTCTCAATCTACCTCTTTGATTTGTTAGCAAAAAGTAGATCAATTAAAATATACACATCAGATTTAAATCAGACTTTATATTTATTATTCTCTGTCTCTCTTTCTCTCTCTCTCTCTCTCTCCCTATATATATGTATATATATATATAAATATGTATATATATATCGATCGTTTCAACTAGCAAAAAGAAAACATCAATAAATGGAAACATAAATAATGTATAGAAAATGTCATATATTATATATATATATATATATATATCAGTTTGCGTGTGAATTTATGTACACACTAATAGACATGTTTAGTACTGCGTTGATTTAGAAAGCTTATCGCGAAAAAGACTTGAGTTTTCACTTTTCACTATAAAAAAACAAACTTTTCTTTTCACTTTTTGGCGGTATTAGGAAATTTGATGTCCTTATTTATTGCTGCATTCTAAACAATCAAATTTCATTTTAATTTTGTTTTTATCAAGAAAGAAAAAAAGAAATAAACAAAAAAACAATTCCTTTTAAAGAATGACAACTTCAACCGATTATATAGTTAAAAAAAAAAACTCTTCGGCAAATAATTCTTGAACCAAGAAAGGAATAATCCAGGATTTTTTAAAATTCTTTATCATATTTACCTGAACGATTTACCTGAAGGATTTATTTCAACACACAATCTAAAACACATATCTTCATCGTCAAATCTATGAAGAAGGATATCATTTTTAAATATTACATAAATAAAATATATATCCCTAACTTTTGCGTGTGTAATTATCTGTATGGACTATTAACAAAGCTGACGAAATTCTAATTTGCCGTTCGCTAGATTTTAAAATTGATTCCATTTTTATACCGGCTTTTCTCTGCATACAATATCGACAAAATTAATTTTATATCTGTGTACATATAGATGATACATAGCTTAGATATTTGAGATTTTTAGATAGAATTTGCTTGTTTTGTTAGTGAAGAATAAATAAAACACAAAAGGTCATTGTTTTCGACTTTGTTACTTTCTACTTGTTGAGATTTGGGTTTAAATGTTTAATCAAAACCTGAAATAATCCCTTTCTTTACGAAGTGATTTTTGTTCTTGTTATAAGTCAAACATTGTTAAGTCTGTTGATTTCTTTAGATTTGGAGTTTATTTTCTATATTTGATCATCGTTTTTTTACTTTTATCATTATCATTTTTTTTTCATTACTTTCTGCTTGGGTTTCCCCTGTTTTTCTTTCACTCTTAATCTTTCTCTGATCTTTTATCCTTTCTTCACTTTTAACCCGGATGAACATTTTATTTATCCATTGAAATTACTTTCTTCTTTGGTGTTAGATATCTATCTATCTATCTATCTATATATATATATATATATATATATATATATATATAACTGTCTTCATTTACTGATATAATACTTTTCGGGGCGGATTATTTCATTAGTTTTTTAAGAATATCGAATTTACGAATGGAAAACTGAACACCACACCAACAAATAACAATTTAAAAAAAAAACAACAACAAATATCTGCTTCTTTTCAAATTACACGAGAGTTTCTGTGTGCGTGTGTACGTGTTGTTCAAGACGTGATCATTTTAGAAAGAGGCGACGCCTTTTACAGATAGATAGATAGATAGATAGATAGATAGATAGATAGATAGATAGATTTAAAACATACATAGTAAGAGAAGTAGCAATTTTCATTCTTTTGACCATATTAACCGTTTGTACTTATTCGTCTGTTTTGTCTTTCTCTCGTTCTTTCTCTCGTTCTTTCTCTCGTTCTAAGGTAATTCCTAATCAATGCCTGAACGAACAGGTTAAAGAGAATGCCTGTACAGGGCAGGTAATTGTATTCTCGAACGTGTTGATTGTAGAGGCGTAAAAAATTACGCAACTCATAGATAGATAGATAGATAGATAGATAGATAGATAGATAGATAGATAGATAGATAGATAGATAGATAGATAGATGTTGTGGACTCATTCAAGTTTTTTCTTATTGCAGTTGTGTTCGGCAGACTAATAATCATTTCGTCTTATTTCTGTTTTACTGGTCAGTAAAGACCGACTTAACTGCTTCCGTAAAGACAAAAAGAATAAAGAAAAGACAAGAGATTGACAAGAGGGTGGTGAAAAAAAGGAGATAGTATATCACAGCTGAGTGAGAGAAAGGAGAAAAAGAGAAACAGAGAAAGATAATTGGAAGGGTGGGAGGAAGAGAGTTGTAGAGAGAAAAGCAGTTGAAAGATTTAAATAACAAAAAGGACATGTTAAGGAAGAACAAACCTGAAAATACAAATACTTTACGAAAGATAAAAGCAGCAAACTAACGTATGTATGATAGGACATGCAACGAGGAGAATCGTCAGCTATAAGAAAAATACGCTCCCACGCGCCTCTCGTACAGATATCATTGGCTTGATGTAGGACCTGACAAGAAAAACGCTTGTGTGAAGAGAGAGAAAAAACTTATGGAAAATATATAAATGGAGAAAGAGAGAGAGAGAAAGAGAGAAAGGTAAAGGAGAAAAAATAAAATAAAAAGGCACTTACTCAGAAAGAGAAAGAAGTAAACATTTTAAAATAGAAAGAAAGAAAGAAAGAAAGAAAGAAAGAAAGAAAGAAAGAAAGAAAGTGCATAAAAGTAAACTGTAGATTACCAGTATATTTGAGAGAGGCGGGATATTAAAAGGTGAAAGAAAGTAACTAAGGGTGAGTGAGAAAAAGTGGTAACTTGTTTTTTAAAAAAGAAAGAAACAAAAGAGTCGTTTAAAAAAGAAGACGATAAGTAGGAAGAGTAGGGAAAGAGAAGAGTTGTAAGAGAAGAGAGAGGGCAGTGATAACGAGAGATAATCAGGAGTGGAAGAAAAGAAAGAGAAAAACAAGCCAGTGTCAGCGGGCATGAATTAAACGAGAATAGGACAAATTTCATTTACTCCCCCAACGACCCCTCCACTTGACACACTCTCTCTCACTCACTCACTCACTCACTCACTCACTCACACACACACACACACACACACACACACACACACACACACACACACACACACACACACTCCATCATCATCCAAACGATCTAACTTAAAACTTACTGATACTTATTTTAGTGACTTAACAGCTAACCAAGCAATCGTAAGCTACTAAACAGTTAAAATAATAGTGGCGGTGTCTTCGACGGGCTAGAAGGAGACAGAGTGGGGAAAAATCCCGACCGGACAAGAAAATCCTTCAGCAGGTGCTTATTTAGTTTCATTCAAAGCGAGGACGTATTCGGACTACTCCGACCATTACAATAAAACAACAAAAACTACTACTACTAATACTACTCCTCAACGACCACTAGTTACTACCATTACTACTAATATTGTGAATAGTTTACATCTAGAAATGAGAAGAAACACTAATACGACTATATTTCGATAAAAAGTTAGTTTTTTTGTTTAATTTTTTAAAAAATAGCAACAACCGAAAATTAGTTGGTGCGACGTGCATTATTTGATTTGTACCAAAAGGGACCACGGAACCCAATTTTACTTACAGCTATTATTGAAATAGCAACAATATACATATATGTATATATATTCATCTATATATTAGCAATATTGTTATACACCTGTTTTTTTTTTAAAACGTTTTCTAAGCAATTGGTTCTACAACAAAAATGATTCTCCAAATATTACCAATTTGGGCATACATTCTAGTCGCACTGACTTACGGAAAACAAGGTAGGTAAAGTTTGTTTTATAATTTCGTCTTTTCAAACTTTTACGATTTGAAAACATTTACCTGAACATATAAAGGTAAAAATAAAGATGTTTCCTGTGTCCTTCAAGCAATAGTTAATTTCTTCTTAAAAGCTCCACACCCGACGCTTAAAAGAGGAAAAAAAACAAAAGTTTTATTTATTTATTTATTTATCATGATATAGCGAGTTTCAGAAATAGTGGACCTAATACAAAAATTTCGAAAAGAAATTACAACTAAAGAAAACAGAAATTAAATCAATAGATATACATATGTATTCATAGATATACATATATGTGTGTGTGTGTGTGCGTGTTGCGTGTGTGAGAGTGTGTGCGTGCGCACCCATGTGTGTGTGTGCATGTGCGCGTGTTTGCATGTATGTAAAATGCTATAAAGTTTAAAATATCATGAATTTGTGAGCATTTTCATTATTTATTTCGCCATACTTTGAAGAATAACGTAAAAATATTTGCACCATTCAACAAGGTATATATATATATATATATATATATATATATATATATACATACACACACACACACACACACACACACACACATATATATATATATATATATATATATATATATATATATATATATATATATATATGTATGTATGTATGTATGTATGTATGTATGTATGTAGGCGCATGCGCTAGGGTGCCCTGAGTGCCTAATTATCTATCGACTGATAATGCCCAGATGTTCGAGTGGATTTGCTTTATGTTACTAATCTTGAATTAAAAATAATTTTAATAAAATAAAGGTGATTACTTGTTTGTTATCACTGATCTATTTGAAAATGTTTGTAACTTGAACTGAAAAGTGAGATTTCAGTGTTTTAGATATGTTCGGGCCACTTACGCATCTTGGTTAACTCATGACCGTTCTAACTTTCTTAATTTCTCTCCCCACTCTCTCTCTCTCTCTCTCTCTCTCTCTCTCTATCTATCTATCTATCTCTCTATCTCTCTCTCTCTCTCTCTCTCTCTCTCTATCTATATATATATATATATATATATATATATATATATAATGTACTGTTTGAGCATGTATGTGTGTGTGAGAGAAAGAGTAACTTAGTTGGTGTTACGATTATTATTTTATATTTCTTAATTTTTTTAAAAAAAGCAACAACAGAAAATTCGTTGTTGTGACGTGTATTATTTCATTAGTACCAAATGGGACCAAAGAACTCAATTTTACTTGCATGCAAAAGATTTTATTATTATTTAAGTTATTATTAAAAATGAAATCTATCTATCTATCTATCTATCTATCTATCTATCTATCTATCTATCTCTATACATATATATATATGTGTGTGTATGTGTGTGTGTGAATATGTATTTATATCTGTAATTATATTGTTCAAAATCTGTTAGATCTATGGCTGAAAAAAGTCGTCAGTATCAAGGAGAGAGATTGTAAATTGTTTAATGATCACTTTATGCGTGAAACAGATAGTCTCTATGCATTGTTTATTTCTGTATACACTA